TATTATTGTTATTGAAAGGGACCTTATAAATTCTCCCACATATCCACACTTTATTACAGATATTCCAATTCAGTTAGTGTGAATTAACAGGAGAGGGAGAAAGATTTCCTCAAACTGCGTATCAGAACCCCCTAGAATTGCTAGGGTGATAACTCGTTGGTAAGCATAGGGGCCTGGGAGAAATAGAGGCAGCATCTAATCGAGGTTTTGGAGTGGGAGATGGTGGTGCGGGTCAGGAGAAGCTTCTGAGCTGAGCTGAGTCCTAATGCAGGAATAGACGTTGGACATGCTACAGAGAGTGTGTGGGCAGCAGGGATGCAGCTGGGGTGCTCCTCCATGCTGAAGACCTTGGAGAAGGCATGAAAGTGTGACGGAGGTAGACACATATAGGAAATTGGGCATACCTGTTTGGAGCCTGTGCTAGTATGGAAGGCGATGGCATGGGGAGAGGGTTGGGTGCTGAGGCTAAAGAAGTCTGCAAGGGGGCAGATGTTCAGGAAGGGCACTGTGCATCTGTCTAAAGTGATGGGGCATGGGGAACCCTTAAAGGATTTTCAGGAGGGGAAAGACAGTGCTTCCTATTATATTTATTTTGAAATTGATTTCTGGCCAATTTTATGGTAATCAGAGAATATACTTGAAATGACTTCCATCCTTTGGATTTTTGGAGCTTACATTTATGGTGCAGCATATGGTCAATTTTGATAAATGTTTCATGAAGCTACACGTTTCTTTTGGTTAGTATTTGCATGGTATATATATTTTTTTCATTCTTTCTTCCTAGTGCATCTGTGTCCTTGTATTAAGATGTGTTTCTCTCCTCCATCCCAGCCTTATTGACATATAATTGACATAACATTGTGTAAGTTTAAGGTGTACAATTCATTGATTTGATCCATTGAAATATTGTAAAATGATTAAGGTACATTTCTTGTATGCAACATGTAGGGTTTTTTTTTTTTTAAACTCAGTTTGAAAACAGGACTTTTATTAAAATATGTAGTCCTTTTGCATTTAACGTAACTACCGAAATATTTAAGTTCATATTTACCCTCTTTCCACTTCTTACCTTTAAAAAAAAAAAAAGATTTTATTTTTAAGTAATCTTCACACCCAATGTGGAACTTGAACCCACAGCCCCAAGATCAAGACTTTCTCCACCACCTGAGCCAGCCAGGTGCCCCTCCACTTATTTTGTATTTGGCCCACCTGTTTTCTGTTTGATTTTTCCCTCTCTCAAAAAAGCATTATTTTGGATTAGTAAACAATTTTTATTAGTCCATTTTCTACTACTTTAGGTAATGCATGATTTATTCTTTTAATGATTTCCATAGATACCGCAACATGAATCTTGACTTATCAAAGTCTAACACAAATGATTAGTTTTACCAATTTTCCAATTATGTTAAATGTTTAGAACTCTGACTTTCTTTACCCATTTCTTTACTTACTCCATTTCTTATGTTATTGTTGTCATGATCTTTTTTTAAAACAATCATTTTATTTTATTAATTAACTTGAGAGAGAGAGTGTGTGTGTGAGTGGGGGAGGGGGCAGAGAGAGACAGAGAGAGAGAGAGAGAGCAAATCTTCAGCAAGCTCCACTCAGCACAGAGCTGGAGCCGGGGCTCAATCCCACGATCCTGGGATTATGACCTGAGCAGAAATCAAGAGTTGGATGCTCAACACACTAAACCACCTGGGCGCCCCATTGTGAAATTTAAAAGGAATTAAAGACAAAGATCGTGACAGGGGTGCCCGGGTGGTGGGATTGGGCCCCGAGTCCAGCTCCATGCTGACGACAGCTCAGAACCTGCTTGGGATTCTCTCTCCCCTCCCCCACATGTGCTCTCTCTCTCTTTCTCTCTCAAAATAAATAAATAAATATTAACAAAATAAATTCCACCAGACTTTATTATTGTTTTACATTCGTTATTAATTTATACTTACCCATTCCTTGAGGACTTGTCATTCTTTTTTGCATCTTCATGTTTCTGTCACTGTCTTTCTACCTGAAGAATCTTATGTTTTGTTTGTCTGAAAAAGTTATTTCACATTTAAAATTTTTTAACTTTTTTCTTTTAAAAATATTTATTCATGTATTTATGTATTTATTTATTTCTGAGAGAGAGAGAGAGAGAGAGAGAGAGAGAGAGAGAGAGAGAGAGAAAATCTTAAGCAGACTCCACACTTGGCACGGAGTCCGACACAGGGTTTGTTCTCACGACACTGGGATCATGACCTGAGCTGAAATCAAGAGTCAGATGCTCAACCAACCAAGCTACACAGGTGCCCCCAATTTTTTATTTTTGAAAAATTTTTTGAACTAACTTTTTTTTTTTTTTAATTTTTTTTTCAACGTTTATTTATTTTTGGGACAGAGAGAGACAGAGCATGAACGGGGGAGGGGCAGAGAGAGAGGGAGACACAGAATCGGAAACAGGCTCCAGGCTCTGAGCCATCAGCCCAGAGCCCGACGCGGGGCTCGAACTCCCGGACCGCGAGATCGTGACCTGGCTGAAGTCGGACGCTTAACCGACTACGCCACCCAGGCGCCCCGAACTAACTTTAAACTTACAGAAAAACTGAAAGGATACTATAAAGAAATCCTGTATGGCCCATATCCAGATTTATTAATTTTTAACAATTTGTCATATTGCTGTTATTATAATCTCGAGAACTATTTGAGAATAATTTGCAAATATCGTGTTCCTTTAGCCCTTAATACTTCAGTGAATAGTTCCCGAGAATAAAAGAATACTCTCTTATACAGTAGCTGTCAAATTCAGGGAATTTAACATGACGCATTGATCTAATCCAATTTTATCAATTGTCACAATAATGTTATTTATGACATTCTTCCCTTCCAGGATTACTTCTTGCATTAATTGTTATGCTTTTTTTTTCAGGATCCTTCCTTCTACTATAGATTCTCAGCCTTTCTTTGTCTTTCATGATGTAGATATTTTTGAAGATTAAAAGCTAGTTATTTTATATAATATCCCTCAATTTAAGTTTCTTGGATGTTTCCTTATGATTAGATTCATTTTGGGCTGAAATAACATATAGATGCTATATTGTTAGGATTTCAAATATGGAGACACATTGTGTCTACCTATTCCTTTAAAAAAAAAATTTTTTTTTAACGTGTATTCAGTTTTGAGAGACAGAGTGCATGCAGGGGAGGGGCAGAGGGAGACACAAAATCTGGAGCAGGCTCCAGGCTCTGAGCTATCAGCCCAGAGCCTGACACAGGGCTCGAACCCATGAACCTGGAGATCATGACCTGAGCCGAAGTTAGACACTTAACTGACTGAGCCACCAGGAGCCTCTCTACCTGTTCCTTATTGGTGATGTTAATTGTAATTAATCACTCGGTTAAGATACTGTCCAGTTTCTCCACTGATAGCTACTACTTTTTACTTCTGTAGTTAATAAATTCTTTATGGATAGATAGCTTTAACTGTGCAACATTCTATTTCTTATCAGACTCACTTGCCATAGATTCAGCATCTATACCAGTCAGGATGTCATCAGGAGACAGCACACCAGTAATGTGAACAGGGAAAATGTAATACAAAGAATTACTAACTAGTAAAAGGTAACTACTAAAAAGGATGAAAGACATCCAGAAGTATTAAGTGAGAAAAAAAAAAGCAGTTACTACCTCATGGTTCAAAGAGAGTACACATTGAAACATTGAAGGGACTAAGGATTTAGGACATCTCTCTCTCCCTCCCCCTTCTCCTGGCACCCCCACCCGGGTCAAAAAAAAAAAAAAAAAAAGGCACTTGGGTGGCTCAGTCGGTTGAGCATCTGACTCTTTTTTTTTTTTTTTTAATTTTTTAGTACTTATTTATTTTTGAGAGACAGAGACAGAGTGTGAGTGGGGGAGGGGGCAGAGAGAAAGGAAGACACAGAATCCGAAGCAGGTTCCAGGCTTCAGGCTGTCAGCACAGAGCCTGACGTGGGGCTGGAACCCACGAACCTGAACCTGGAGATCATGACCTGAGCTGAAGTCAGATGCTTAACTGACTGAGCCACCCAGGCGCCCCAGCATCTGGCTCTTGGTATCGGCTCACGGCTAGTGGGAGCTAGCCCCGCATCAAGCTATGCACTCAAAGCGCGGAGGCTGCTTGGGATTCTCCCTCTCCCTCTCTCTCTGACCTTTCTCTGTTCTCTCTCTCTCTCTCTCTCAAAATAAAGTGTAAAAAAAAAAGTTAAAAAAAAAAAGAAAGTTTAAATTCAGACTTTTTCAAAGATAGTGTGGCTACCATAGGAATACACTCAGCTGCTGGTGGGCAGAGGCCAGAGTTTGCATAGAAATGACAACTGGGTGGGAAGAGTGTGGGCTGAATGTACGACTGTAGCTGGTGCGTGGAGGTCATTTGAAGTGCGTACTACTGGCCCTTCCATGCACCAGCCCACTGGCTCTCAAGCTGAGTGACTGAAGCCCCAACCAAAGTACTTTCCTAGGGTTAGCACATCACAGTGCCCCTCTAGCGCCCTCTATTGACAAAGCCTCACATTGACAGCTGGCAAAAGAAGTTTGCAGAGTGAGGAGAGGCTTGTAGCAGCTCTTCTAGACAAATCGTCTCTAAGGCGGAAAGAACTTCACCTCTAAAGGTTTGGGAGCTGGAGCTGACATGGCGTAATTGATTGCTGCTAGACTTGGATAACCAGTCTGTCTGCCGAAGGATGGGGAGTAAGACAGGGGAGATTGCATATGAGCACTTTACCATTTTTTATTTTGTTAAGGTGTTATGTCAGATGCTTCATGTATATTGCCTCGACTCCTCATAAGAACCAAGAGTTGAGTATTATTAGCTACATTATACAGTTGAGGAGATTGAAGCTCAAAGATGTTAAATAACCTGTTCAAGACAGTGGCTGAGTAATGGGGCCAGAATTAAAATCCCTGCCTCCAGAGCTGACATTCTTGCTAGACTACCACAGTTTGGGTGACATTTAAATGAGTGGGATTCTCTTATAGGCCCCACCATGTGGACACCTCCAGGACAGAACCAAAGCTGGGTTTCTGAATTTATCCTGCTTGGCTTCTCTGGTGATCCCACGTTCAACAGGATCCTCTTCATTTCCTTCCTTCTCCTTTACCTGAGCTCAGTCCTGGGCAATGGACTCATCATCGCCCTGATCTGCCTGGACATACAGCTTCACACACCCATGTACTTCTTCCTCTGCATCCTCTCCCTGCTAGATATGGGCTGTGTCACCACTACCATGCCCCAGATGTTGGTGCATCTCCTCGCTCGCTCTCAGACCATCTCCTTTGCCAGCTGTTGGCTGCAGATGTATGTGTTTGGTGCCTTGGGCCTAACTGAGTGTATTTTCTTCGTAGTCATGGCTTATGACCGATATGTGGCCATCTGCCACCCACTGCATTATACTGTCATCCTCAGCTGGGGCCTGTGCATACGACTGGCAGCTGGGACCTGGGCCTGTGGTTTCTTCTTCTCTCTGATCCATACTTTCCTCACCATGAGGCTGCCATACTGTGGGCCCAACGTGGTCAACCACTACTTCTGTGAAGGCCCCTCAGTACGAAGCCTGGCTTGCATGGATACTCACCTTATTGAGATGGTAGACCTGGTCATCAGTGTCTTCATGGTTGTTGCCCCACTCTCCCTCATTCTGGCCTCCTACATCCGTATTGGCCAGACCATTATCAAGATCAAGTCTACACAGGGCCGCTGTAAGGCTTTCTCCACCTGTGCTTCCCATGTGACTGTGGTCACACTCTTCTATGCCCCAGCCACATACATCTATATGAAGCCCAACTCCAGCTATTCCCCTGAGCAAGACAAGCAGATCTCACTCTTTTATAATGTCTTCCCTGCCTTTCTCAACCCTGTGGTCTACAGTCTGAGGAACAAAGACATCAAGGGGGCTTTTCTCAAAGTGATGGGGTGGGGTAGGGTGCCCTGGTGAATTGGGAGACAGGAGAGGCCTGAGGTAGAATGTCCAATGCTAAAGAAAGGCACAGCATTTATAAGGTGTGCAAACAACATTGTGCATTGGAACCAATATAGCACTTGGTCAGTGGAACAAATATGGTACGTGAAACCAACATGACAATCTTGATGAACTTGCTACATTGTGGTGCAATGACAAACAGCTGCATAATCTTAGTGGCTTACAACAGCAGAAGTTCATTTATTGCTCATCTTCCATGTCAGTTGTATGTGGACTGTGGCCTTCTGCCATTGGATTCTTGGATTCAATCTGAAAAAGGAGGCTCTATCTGGAATATCCCATTCTTATGACAGAGAGAAAGGCACATAAAAACTCTTAAAGTTTCTGCTCAGAAGTGACACAGATCTCTTTGCTGATATCCTATTGGCCAAAGCAAATGATATGGTCAAGCCCAATAGGAAAAGGACAGGAAGTATCTTCTTCCTACAGAAAAGTAACATGTCATATGGCAATGGGTATGGATATATAATTCTTCTATAGTGAGAGTGGCAATAATGGGGGTGATAACATTATCTAACACAATGGCACTGGAATGAATAGAATACATGTAATCAACATGAAACATGGTAATTGTAGGTGACATGGTACATGGACATGGTAGAAGGCCAAGATGATGTAGACAATCAAAGTGGTACATGTAACCAACGAATATCTGTAGCCAACATTGAAAATTAAGCTAATGGAAATGGAACCAAGGCTGCCCACAGGCTTGACTTGGTGCATGGAATCAATGTGGTTCATGGGTCTGATGTGGTATACTCTGCATTGTGTTGTCGAAGGACAAAGTACCTGACATTAAGTGACTTGGGTTCTAGTCCTAATCTTATAACATGTTTTATGACTTTGGGCAATTCACTTTCTTTCTCTGGATCTTACCTTACTCATCTATAAAATAAGCATGTTAAATGTGGTTTCTTTCTTGCTCGCTCTTCCTTCCTTCCTTCCTTCCTTCCTTCCTTCCTTCCTTCCTTCTTTCTTTCTTTTAGAAGGACAGAAAAACAGAGCACAAGCAGGGGAGGGGCAGGGAGAGAGGGAGACACAGAATCCCAAGCAGGCTTCAGACTCTGAGCTGTTAGCACAGAGCCTGACACAGGGCTTGAACCCATGAACCACGAGATCATGGCCTGAGCTGAAGTCGGACGCTCAACTGACTGAACCACCCAGGTGCCCCATATGTAATGGTTTCTAAGACCTCTGTGTCTCTAAAATTTTAGAAGAATAGAAGTTGCTGCCATTTGTAAACTATACATACATAGCAGTGACTCTCATTCTTTCAAGGAATCTAAATGACATATGAAGCTAAGAATCCTGGCAAAGGGCCTCAGAGTTAGCATGAACATCCAACTTCCTTTCAGGTTTCATTGGTGGCTCAGAGGCCTCAGGGATGAGTTGATTCAGTTCCAGTATTTCGTGAGCATCCATTATAGTCCAGCCAGTGTCAGGCCTTGGGGAAACCAAGACAGGTATATGGAGAGATTTACAGTCATGTAATTACAATGCTTCTGGAACAACCCAAGAAGATGCCACAGTAACTCTGAAGGACCAACGACTTCACGAGAGTGAGGTTCTCTCAATGGGTGCCAGACACAGAGGACCAGACTATACCTCACCCCACTCCTATCCACCACTGCATACCTCACCACTTTGTAAGCTCTCCAGAACTTGGAGTCAGGGAGAGAGGGATGGAAACCCCAAGAAGATTAGTATTATTTCTCCCACCACTGGGATGATAGCTCAAAATGGAAACTAAACTCAGTTACTGAGAAATGAAGGTGTAGTTATCTCAGGAAACAAGTAGCATTCTGTGATAGAGAAAAATGGAGGAGGAAAGCCTGCTTCCCAGGGCCTTACTTGGGAAGGAATTAAGGTTTAGCTGATACCTGAGGATGAGAAGAGTCACCCGTGCAAAGAGCCAAGAAAAGGCATTTCAGGCAAAGGGATGCCAGGTACAAAAGTCCCAGGTCAGGAAAGAACTTTGTATTTTCTGCAGAGCTGGAAGAAGGCCCATGTAGTCACAATAAAGTGAGCAGAAGAGGCAGAGATGACATTGAGAAGTAGGCAGAAGACAGTCCTAATGAGCCCTGTAGATAGTGTTTACTTTTTTGCTCAGTGCTGTGGGAATGCTCGGATTCTTACTGGGGAGCAGTGCAGGTTTAGGGATGATGAGCTCCAGTGTGAGTGTGGCTTGAGGTGACCAGAAAGGAGATGGGATAAAAGGTCATCAGGATGAGCATGTCTGAGAACTCACAGGCCAAGAGTGAGAACAAAGAACTCCCTTTTAGAGAGGTACAGAGGGTGTGGCATCCCTAGGGAGAATTCCAGGTTGAGGATCCTGGGAGGGGTGGTTGCTGAATATGGGACTAAGATGGCAAAGAGAGGGAGAACTGGGGAAAGGGAGAAGTAGGGACTTGGGCAAGTGGGGAGATGAACAGAGTCTGGGAATAATAAATGACTAGAGAGTTCTTGGCTTCTGAGGTGATAGAGATTTCGTTTCTAGTACTTAAGTGTGGAGTTGGGTGCTAGTATGGTCCTAAAGCATTTACTCAGAGGTGAAACAGGGCATTTGGGTGGGTGGGTACAGCTACACCAATAGGCTCCAGTACCTGGTATGACAAAGTTCCAGGCAGAGGGATTCAGGTAGAAAGTGAAGGGTCCCATGGATTATTAAGGTATTCCTTCCCCCATCTGGGGAGGGAGTAAGGAGCTATGTGGTTGGTGGAAAGGACTTGCTAACTGACGAGAGGTTCTTCTGGCCTTGTGGGGAAGCAGGCTGCCTCAATAATGGGGGAGAAGTCTTCCTGGATGTTGGAGTTCCTTCTAGAAGGTGGGAAGTCCACCTAGTGGCTCTTCTACAACTAGATAGTCAGGGGCCAGGGTAATGGAGAGATGAGTCTTGTGGCTAAAGTGTGATAAGGTTTCATTAGTTTCTCTACTAGGACAGATTGCTACCATTCATAATTCAGGGTGATAGTAGATTTTATCTTAACAATGATGAACAACCTGTATTTTTAAGCATCAAGGCTGAGGGATGGGGTGGAGGAAAGGTGGGGACACAGTATTTTCAGAAGAATGGCTTGTGAGACATAATGAGGGTTTGGGTTGAAGAACACTTAGTGAGGGAGACCTGGGCATGGCTTGTGAAGGTGATTATAGTGGATGGTGGCAGTGAATGGGGAGATGCCAAAAGATGTGACAAGGAAAGAAGCAAGAACACTTAATGGCTTGGGTGTGTTGGTAAAACAGAGAAATCAAGGAAGCTAGCAAGGTTTTAAGCCAGCTTTACCACTGTCTCTGCTTCCCTACAGTTTATTGATGGGAGCCAGCTGATTGCCAGCTGTCATTCCCAAATCCGTGGCACTGCAGGAAGAAGTCATGGCCCTTGTCCTGCTGGAATTTGTGGGCTACAAACCAGCACAGTTCATAGAAGGCATATACGTACTTAGGGGTGGGGTTAGAAATTACTGTTGTTCAATAATTTCTCTGTTAATTTGAGTCTCAATGGGGTGGTTTTTGTGGTTTTTACTCCCTTTCCTGCTAAGTTTCCTAGAATTTTCTCTAGAGGCAACACTCTCAGATGGGCTTTTGCCTAATCACCTGGAATATTTCCCACCCTGAGCTCTAAATTTCCTGTATCCCCCTTTCTTCCGGAACTCTACCCAGTTCTCTCTAATCCTTAATCCTACAACACTGTTCTCTGGCCTAATCGAACCTCATTGTCAAGCCGTCTCTTCCCATTGTTCCAGCTATTATCTAGGCGGAAAGCCTGACCAATGCCCTTCATATCTCTGCAATTCATCCTTTGCTCCTGTGATTTGGGGGCTTGATGTGTCCTGTTAATCCTTCTATGTGGTATCTGCCTGCTCTCCCCCAATGCCCAGCATCTCTCCTCAAGCCCCCTTCCTTACTACTTTCCAAAACAGGTTCAGCAAATGTCCTATAAGCGACTGTGAAATGCAAAGCCAAATATTTTCCTTCCAAATTCAAGTTACAATCACCATAACTTCCATTAATACCACAATTACTATTACTTTCTTTGCTGAGTTCAAAGCACCTTCAATGACATCTGTTTGGATTGAATCTGTACCACTTTCCTTGGAGCCTTCACTGTTTTTTTGAGGACTATTAGTTAATGAAGGTTCAATAACTCTGAGGTTAAAGAGGCCTGATATTAATCACAATGAGGCCTAATAGTTTTAAATTTCCTTTGTGTTTAAAGTGAGAATCTGACAATATTTTTCCATGGCATCATTTCATTGAATGCCTATCACTTGTATCCATTAGGCGATTTAGAATTTCAAATTCAAAGTCAAATTTGAAACAGAAAAGGCTGGGATAGTTCAATGGACTGTGGGAATTCAGAATCATGACAAAGATAAAATGAATGCCAGGAACTCCTGCCTCTTTTCCCCTTTTGTTCCCTGGTGGTAGAAAGAGTGAAGGCAAAATTTGGAGGAGATTTTGTGAAGGTTGTTAGGGGCTCTGTGTGAGAGCTTACCCCTCTGATTCCAGCTTCACTGGAGTGTTGCTTACCTTTCTTGGCACTGAAGTATTGTCTGCCTTTTTTTTGTATGATAGGCACTGTGTGGTCAGTACAATTTCTGAGATTCTGTGGAGCAACTTTTCTGTGCCTCTTCCAAGGTGCTGGGGACTCTAGGGGGCCACAGGTATGGGAGAAGGGGTCTGGCACTGGTAAGAGAAGTCAGCCCTACTCTGATCACTATATCCTGCTATACCTGTCAGTATCTTCTTGAATCAAGTACTCTAGTAACACATTATTACTCAGTTTAGATTTGAACAAATGTTTATTTAAAAAGCTCTATCATGTGAGAATATCAGTGAAAGTATCTGAGGAGTTCTGGCTGTTTGTTATCAGGGCCTCTTCATTTGGTACCTTGAAAGGGTGTCATAATTTTTCTACAGTTTTGCCAGTTCAGAGTTCATAGGTTTCTTGGTGA